TGTATTTAGATCGTTTATGGATTTACGTGGACGACAACGTTTATTTATGTGACCTGAATCAAGAAAGACTTGAATTAAATGAAGCGATCGAACTTTACCAAAAATTATTTTATGGAATAAATACGTTTTTTATAATCGACGACTGCGCAGCTGACCAGTTTATTAAATATAGAAAGAAGTAACACATGCGCTTTGAGTAGGATGGCCTTCAGCGGTAGACATTATTTGCATAGCTGTTGGTTACTTAGCCAAAAGTACAATTCAGTGCTCAAAGACTACCAGGAAAATACCGCCTAGACAGCTTTATTCCATTGCAAGGATAGGAATAGCTTAGACGAATGTTTGGACAAAAATGATGTGGTACCCGACGAGAAAAGAGAGCAGATTAAAAAATATTTACGCGATGTTAAATTTAGCAAGCCGCCATTGAATACGGAACCACCTGTATCTTATTATTTATCGTGAGAAAAAATTAAGAATAAAATGATTAACAATAAAAAATAAGATGTTCCAAAACCGGAAAAAATGGGTTAAGTGTCAATGCGACAGAGATACGTCCAATTTTAAAAGTCGGAAAAATGGAAAGATAAATATTACATGTAACGATTGTATTGAGAAGGTAAGGATGTATCAAGAGATAAACAGATGCCCCCACGGCACACGAAAAAACATGTGCACCGAATGTGGAGGTCCTTCTCTTTGTACACACGGGATATTAAATTGGCAAAGCATCCAATGTGGCAGGTCATCAATATGCAAACACGGGCAAATAAGATACACTTGTAAAGACTGTAATGGAAATGGTATTTGCGAACACGGGAAGCAGAAATACGCTTGTAAAGAGTGCAAAGGAAATGGAATTTGTGAACACGGGAAGCAGAAATATGCTTGTAAAGAGTGCAAAGGAAATGGAATTTGTGAACACGGAAAGCAGAAATATGCTTGTAAAGAGTGCAAAGGAAATGATATCTGTGCATATAAAAAATATAGAAAATGCTGTAAAGTGTGCAGCGACCCAATTGAAGTAACGATTAGAGGTTGGATCAGCCACTGTTGCTCTGAAGATAAAAAGTACAATCGCTTTGATCCCGATCGCTTTATAGATACTGATTCATGTCGTTGGCATGGTTGGTTTATTGAAGATTACCCATATTGCTTTTACCCAGATTGTAAAGTCAAGATGCAATTTTTAAAAAATCAAGACGACTTGTGTACTATCGAACGATTAGATAATTCTATCGGTTACATTAAATCAAATTGCGTATTGGCCTGCCACAGCTGCAATAATTTAAGGAAATCTGATAAGCTAATAATAGAATATTTGCATCACGTGAGAAACTAATTTAAACTTAGTTGCCAATTACTTACCCTTTGTTACAGCTGGGCTAACGCAGTCTGGCTATAGGCAATTTTTATTTTAGTTATAATTAAATGATAACCCTACTTGAATACATTCAACTAGTTATTCAACTAACTATAGCAGCTAATCTAACGTAATACACAATTGAATACCTACGCTTCAAGCACACCTTTAACAATTTTAAAAACCGTATATTTAAATGGACGATATCAAAAGCATCCTGGCCGAATCAAAAGTCGACGCAACCGAATCCAAACCTAACGTAAAAGATAGACTTTGCTCAATAATAGCCTCTGGCGAATCTAAAAAATATTTAGGTAAAGAATATTCTGTCAAAGAAATCGAAACTTTAACTCCAAAAGACCAAGAAAAGCTTTTCAATCTGTACGAAGTTAAATTCGGTAAAGAAATCGTGAACACGCTCGGTAATGCAATCCTAAGCCTGTACTCACGTTTATTAGGAATAGCTTCTCCTGTTGATGTACTCGGAATGAATATAAATTTAAAATCAGAAGAAGCGCTGACAAAAGACCTGAATGACGACCCGATTGTTAGTCAGACGATGGGCCACTTACTTAGTGAAGTTTGTTATAAATACGGGGTATATCTATCACCATTGGCAGCTATGCTAATTACAACAAAGCATCTGCAGTTTAACAAAAAGCTCTCTTATTATAAAAGACCATGTCAACAAGCGAAGCAAAAGTGAGCCCGAACGAAGTGAGCTCAGCACCAACCCCAGTGAACAGCCCGGTAAAATCCAAATGCCTCGGAATGAAGAGTTACTAGAGATAAAAAGGGCAGCTTCACCAAGGTAAGTGATGATGAGGCTCGATGAACAGCCCGGAAGGAAAACATTTGAAGAAGAGCTCCAGGATACAAGACAGGCACCACCAATGAATGAGTTGTCTCAGAGGGGAACGTTCAATATCTACACTGTACATGTACATGTACTAAGAGAAGATACCTGAGGGCAGTGTTGTCAAAGGGAGTGGAGTAATCAGGGACAACCATAGTGGATATAGCACTGACGACAGAATGGTAGAAGCATACGGATGCTAACTGTAGTTCTGAGTATATAAACTCCATGTAAGTCTGCTACTGCGGTTGTACGCATCTCAGTTGGAGTCGCACAACGACTGGCACACCGTAACGGAGAAAGCTGTTATGTGTTGGTTGGTGTATACTAGCAACCTGCTTGATTGAGTCACCAAGGTTGGTGAAGCCGGAACCAGAACAAAGAGAAGACCATTAAAACATCCTTGAGCTATTCAAACAGAACTGACGGAACAAAGGGTAGGCGGATAGGCAAATATAAACCCTTCCACACTGAAAGGGAGGATGACCATCACAAAGGCTTGTAGTCAAGGGAACCTTGTGTGACAGAGCCTCAGTGGCCGAACATTCTCTGTCATAGATAAAGACAATATCTGAATTGTCAAATGTCTTGAAGATTAACTCGACCCTTAAATAATCACTCATTTGCAAATAAAAGGACAAACATGTGACCTTCAGAACATCCATGAATGGTACCTTTTCGTGCATACAGCCTACTAGTCACTACTGTTGATTAGCAGTTCAAATATGAGGACATTTACTATCAGTTACTGAACAAGGTGGACGTAAAAAATATGAGCGCTTGTTGTGTACACTTTTTCATGCTCATATTCATCAGGGATATGTACATGTACAGACCAAAATTGGAAATGGCGTCCCTCATTATCACTTATGAATAATAATTTTTAATCCCCGTCATGATAAACTCAAGATTACATTCTCTCTTTCCACCGACAACATCGTATCTGGCGGTTTCTAGTCACCCCAGTTGCTTAGATGGATTCATCAAAATGATAAATATTTTTTAAAATGATTGAAATATTTCTTTGCAAAGTAAATTCATGAAAGGTCAAATTTTCAACATATTTTTGAATAAAATCATAAATTCTGTCAGTATGTATTGGAAAAAATAAGGCTTTTTCGAAACGGTATTTTTTACAGAAATCTACCTTATTAAATTTGGCAAACGAGGGTGCAGTGTTCATTAATTTCACTACGGTACAACAGCTAAAATTTTTTTAGCCATGAAAACTCACCCATGAATTTCATATTTTTGGTGACATTTCAATTTCAAAATGCATGTATGATGCACTGTGTACTGTGCATATGTCGTGAAAAGTTAGAGAATTATCTGGTTTGGAGCTAATGCTGCATGTTTTGTGAAAAAGTGAGATTATGGGCTTATTTGTTTCCATCGGAGATCAGAAACGTTGAAATCACTCCATGGCTACAATGCCGGGCAAGCCATCCAATGTGCCTGGAAGCTGACACCTGTAAGAAGAAAGCTGACAGCAGCCCCAGTCGCGAAACCCCCTTGTGGTGGGCTGCCGTTGAGTCGAGCATGGGGCCTGCACCCACTGCAGTGACTGATGGATTCCTCCATGTCATGACCATACAAGCCCCACGTTCACAGCTGTGGATATGCTGGAGATCACATTTTACCAACTTGGCACTGAGTCCAGGTAGAACCTGGTCCAGGATGATATCGTTGTGGTAGCCAAATGATGTTTGGAAATGTAAAATGTAGGCCTAGGCCTAAAAGTTCTTTAGCCAAACTTGGTTTACTGAAAAATTAGACCCTGCGAAACACAAATCAATTTGTAAGTGTTTGGTGAACTTAAGATACCGGCAAACATCTGTAATTTAATCTCATGGCAATGGCTTGTCTTGGGGCCAGCTGGTGATTGTTACATTTTTTTCAAGAATTTGTTGCAGTTGATACGGGTAGCATTCACACTTCAAGTTTAACACAACAACAATCAAAAGAAAGATTTTTTTCTAATTTAATTTGAACCGAAGTGATTCTGACACAAGATGAGGAATGCCTTTGTAAATCTATAAATATGGAGAAACCTGCCAATCATTATTTTCACAACCTTTTGATAGTATGTTAACATTATATTTTTTCCAGTTGGAGCATTTACACAGATTGTACTGTACTTATTTTGTAACATACTTATTTCCAAGACTTTGAACACTTCCAAAACTTAATGTTTCACTGGTAAGCATATTTCACTGTCCCATTTCTGGAAATGGCATTTTGGAAATAAAATTTTTGTTTTTCAGGAGAAACAACCCATATATTCGCACTTTCTTTTATCTTCCTTTGTCTTTTCACACATGAACAAATACTACCTTTAAAAAAATAGTAATACTCAAATTGTAAAATCATTTGAGAAAGTGCACATTGTTCTGTGCATCACGAATGTTCATCAGTACTGTGTCCTTTCCCATATCCCACATACTGCTTTTTGTCTGTGCTTTATCCCAGTCAGACTTGTGGTTCTGGAGCTATTGGTGTACAAAGAAATCAGTTTAACAGGCTTGCCACATGCCCCCTGCTACGTTCTCACCACATCTTTGTTCTTGGTCCATCTATGCAGTTTATGTACATGTACACGTAGGTCTTTCCTTGGTGTACATGTACCTTTGATTAAGATACAAGATGGCAAAGCTGTAAACCAAAGTGGCCTCAAGAAATTCTCTATAACAAAGTGAATGCTATTTTGAGGAGGAGGGCAATGCCTTTTTTATCACAAGTGCAGAAAATGCAATTAACGAGAGCAGCACTGCAAAAACTTACAGTTGCCGTTTACTGGTACTCTGCTGTGCTGTTAGAAGATGCAAACGAGGTCCTTCCAACTCAAGAGATTTAGGGTTTAGAGCAACTAAGTCCATATCAACTATGTGCATGGACTTGGATGAACTCTGGACGTTTGCAAACTCACCCCAGTGTTGATCTTCTTTAGGCTGCACAAACAGAGTAAAACAAAAAGTGAGAAATTATAAAACACCACATACATGTTGTTACAAGGTGAATTGTTGTTGGGAGATTACTCTTCTGAATTTATCATATTCGTTACATATTTGTATGGTTTTTATGATTGTATACATGTAATTCCTTTTTATGCCCAATGTATTGGAAGTATAACTTCAGTTCTCCTTTTTATACCAAATGTTTTGAAAGTAATAAGTCTTTGTGAACATTCGGGGGTTGACGAGCCCCTGTTACTTTTATTATGTAAATTATCAAGGTTTTCACGCAGAGGAATACAGCATATGATTGGTTGAACAATTTGGTATAATGAATATCTTTCTTTAAGGATACTAGGGTATAGAAAACAACACATTTACAGGCCTTGCACTAACTTCTTCCTGGCTAGCCCACTGGGCTAGTTAAATGGATATTTTGCTAGCCCGTTTAGAATTTTACTAGCCCGTATATAAAAAAAATATTAAAACCCAAAACTTGTTATCAGCTTACAATACAGAATTTGACATTTCAGAAAATAATTGGCTGATGGTATCAATAAATAAAGAGGCATGTATGTTAGTTAAAAGTCGCATGAGTAACTGGTCAAGGAGCCGGGATCAAAATCTCTCTGCTCTGCCTCTCCTCTCATGTGGGTTGCTTATGTTTGGCAAAAAATGCTACTTTTTGCTTACTTTTGGACCTCTGCACGTCCATGGTGAACAAGTGAAAATTTTTCCAATCAGAAGAGGGTGCTGTTTGCACGTGGCTTTGTGTATCAAATGCTTTCTAACTGTGGTCAGTTAAAGACAGAAAACTTGATAAGCCCCCCACCCCTAAAAAAATACCTCTGGTTTCGGTTTCCTGACCAACCCTTACTTTTCGGCGCGACCCTAAAATTTTTATCAGCAAGTTAGAAAAACAAGTTTTAAAAATTTCAATAAAAATTAATGCTGACGTCTTTCAACAGCGTTAAAACGCTGGTTTTTATATGTTTCCTGAGTTTTCAGTAACTGGGTACCTTCGTCAGGGCAATTTCATAATTCAGAGCACTGATTATATATTATATTTTTGTTTATATCCTGATCACATTGCTACACAGCCCTTTCATATTTCTGTACAAAATATGGAGAGCAATCTTTGAAAGTGCACAAATTTAAAATTTGCACATGTACATACATGTATATGCAGTTTTTCAATTTGTGGCAACAACAGATATTGGCAGAAAAATTACACCCAGCAATAAAAATTGCATGATACACGAAACACAGGCAACAGTCATACAAAAGGTAAGAGACTGACATCAAATACACATTTTTCAAGGTTTTGTGGGGTCTGTTTCGTGTATGATGAGCATGCTGCATGTACAGCATGATGTGTACTTATGTAGCCCCACACGTAGGGCTGCGGATGGCTCTTTTGAAATAGCTCTACTGAGTGGCGCATTAGTATTCCTCTTTTTCGATTTTGGACGGGATTGTCATACTAATGCTCCAAACCAGTACATAGAGTAATGTTAAACACTCCTCAAATATTCCAAAGACTAGCCAAAAATGCCTCTATCAGCATCTACTGGCTTCCGTAAATGCCAACGTCAACCAGTTGGGGCTTCAATGATATTCCTGACTTCAAAATCCGTCAAAATCCAACTGTTTTCACTCGACACATGCACAGCACTTGAAATTTCGCCGCCTCCTCTCAGTCAAATACGCGCGTGTAGAGTTTTCTTGTGCAATAAGTCTATGGGCGAGCATGGTCCTCCAAGACGTACGCATGCGTAGGCTATATGTGGTCGGGACACAAAACTTATTGATCGTGACGTTTGGGAGTGCTGCCAGCAACTGTTTCCTGGTCAATACGTATCGTGCCCCGACTACATATGGGCCTCTCCTGGGGTTTCATTAGAGGACCATGCTCGCCCATAAATTTATTGCACCAGAAACTCTACACCCCCGTATTTGAATGAGAAGAGGCGGCGAAAAGTTTAAGTGCTGTGCTTGTGTCGAGCGAAAACTGTCAGATTTTGACAAATTTTGAAGTCAGAAATATCATTGAAGCCCCAACCGTTTGATGTTGGCATGTACAGGAGCCAGTAGGTGGTGGCAGGAGTATTTTTGGCAAGTCTTTGGAATTTTTGAGAAGTGTTTCAACCTTACTCTATGTAGGCCTACAGGTGTGGAGCGTTAGTATGCCGATCCCGTCCAAAATCGAAAAAGAGGAATACTAAAGTTCCCCTCAGTAGAGCTAGGCCTACATGGTCTTTTGAAATCTGTCTGTTGCCATCACAGCCCTACTGTAGGCCCATGTACTTCAACTTCAAGGCATGACTTTCATGCCTGAAATCCATACTGCAGAATTGTCACAAACTTTGGATCCTGACAGGCCTATCTTCTGAAATGAGAATGGACATTGGCTTATTCCTCAGAATTTGGACTTTCGTAAGAGTACCCTAGTAAAGCTTTCTGTGGGTCCGACGCCCGCTCCGCTTGGGCATGGTACATGTACATGTAGGAGCGGAGCGGGGTCGGACCCATTTCTGGGGGTAGAATAGCCCAGGTTGGATGTTGTCTGCATTTCATTTCCCTCCGTAACGTAGTACGGTCAGGGAGTCCGCCTGGCATGTCTGGGCTAGAACAACTTCCATTCGACTACGTTAATAAGTAGCCATTGGATTTTTAGGGGGTATTTTCGCGTGGCAGGGTATTCTGCAATTACTCCGTGCAAAGAGCACCTACCTGCGTAAATGTCCCACACTTTGGAAATTCTCGATCAACAGAAGCACTGCTGAAAACGTTGATCCTGGTACTCGAGTCTGCCATGTCTGTCTCGCCCTATGCGTGCCCACCATGGATTAGAAAATGGTGTGAAATCAGACCGAAATAGCGCCGCCTGTTGACTCTCGATCTCGTGAAGAGGCTGCCAAGGCTCCGTTTTTTTCACTGGAATTTCAAGATTATGGAGAGAAGAGCACTTTTTTTTTAATATAATGGGGGTGAGCCGCGAAAAAAGCTTTTGTTCGCCTTTCCCCGAAGATATCCAAGCTACCGGCAAGTTAGGAGGACCCTGCATTTGTCTTGTTTCCGTGCTTTCCCTCGTCTTTGGTGAACTCTCCCTGAACTCGTTCGCAATATTGTTTTACAGCCTTTTTCACCGTTTCTTCCCACTCTTCGAAACAGTGTTCTCTTTTCATAAATCCGACTCCCATGTTAGTAGTATAGGAAGTGCAAATTCTGACGAAAAATAAAAACCCTCCTATCTCCTATACCTATACGACCCTTTTTGCAAAAACCCAAACCCTACAATCCAGAAATATCGATTTCCCGCTTACATAGGCTCATACCTACCCGACCCTCCTCCCCAAAACCAAAGAGAGTCACAAAGATTCTTTCTAATGGCATTAAACCAGGATACGCCAGCAAAAAAATTCCCAAAACAAAAAAAATCCGCAAAAACCAAAAAATCCCGCAAAATGAAACCAAAAAAACTTCCAACAACCTCCTCCTCCCCAACTCTGTCAAATTCCAAAATATTAAATTCCAAAATACGATGAAATTCCAAAACTATAATAAATTGAACGCCTCTACCCCAAAGAGTAGACGTGTTAATAAAAATGATATAATTTCTGAATTATTATACAAAACTATTTAATACGAACAAGAAAGCCATCGAATCAAAACGCACAATGTAATATCAGATTAAATTATGAACACAATCTCCATGGCTACAATTCATGGAATAAATCATTATTGAAGTACATCGCTAATCACAATATTACGTTGCACCAACCACGCCGCCCTTTGTGCTATACAAGCGCGAGGAATTAACACAAGCAGTGAGAAATTACACAAAACAATTTCAAAATTTACCCCGCAAATCTATTGGCGAATTACGACAATTGGCATGCAGATGACAGATGGTAAGAAAGGCCAGATAATTGGAAAAAGATTTCATTGCTGCAATTTAAGCTTTTATTAATCGGGAATTATCCCGCGAATTGGACGTCAAAAGATTCCAAGGCTTGCAACTACCGAAATTGGGATAATTCCCAATTTCGGTAGTTGCAAGCCTTGGAATCTGTTGACACGTATTAATATACCACGCTTTTTTAGTGACGATGCAGTTCAATTGTTTATTACGCATAAAAAAAAGCCATTGAAAAATTGGCATTGAAAAAATTAAAGGAAATAGGTACTTATAGATTGCAAACAGCGCTTAAAGTCCGATTTTAAAAGGAACAACCAGAACAGAAAGATTTTGTTACAGCTGAATTTACTTTTTGGCCCAACGTTACAACGGTGTATTTAGAATCAGATGTTAACAACGAGTTGGAAGAACAAAAACAAAAGCTTTTAGATAGAATTGATAAATTTGTTAATAATGGTTCTGGTTGGATACTAGACAAAATTATAGCTTTTTATATCAATATAATAAAATATGACCCACAAGGTGGCACTTACATCTAGTTGCCAGAATATATTGAACATAAGAAAGTCGCAATAAATACTAAAAACAAAGATTACGAATGCATACATTGGGCAATATGGGCGGCTTTAGGATTACATTCTGACATGGGAACATGGGAACAACACGTTCAGTTCTTCGCGAAGTTTTAAACCGTCTACGAGCTGCACACCTCTCCGCATAACCGTCTAGGTGCTTTGTAGGGTACGAATTCCTTGATTTTCTGGGCCATGTCATTGGGGGGCGGAAAAATCAAGGCCACATACAAAGAAAGAGGTCCGTTCATTCATGGGACTAGTTAACTATTATCGTAAATTCATTCCCAATTTTGCCGCCATTGCAGGACCAATCACTGATCTCACAAAGAAGGGCAACCCGAATCAAGTTAAATGGGAACGACCACAAGAACGTGCGTTCAAGACACTAAAGGAGCGATTAGCAGCCGCGCCAATATTGCATTTACCTGATCATGAGAAGGGTTACATTTTGAGAAGTGATGCTTCAGACGTTGGCATTGGAGCCGTTCTCTTGCAGCAAGATGGCGACCAATCATTTCCCATTAGCTATGCGAGTCGCAAAGTTCCACATGTACCTTTATGACAAAGAATTCCTACTGGAAACGGACCATCATCCTTTAGCCTACCTGTCTACAGCTAAAATGCACAACAGAATCATGAGATGGGCTTTGAGCCTTCAGCAGTACAGATTTAGAGTAAAGGCAATAAAGGGAAGCGATAACGTTGGTGTTGACTTTCTAAGTAGATGCCCAGCTGAATGAAGTATTGGATTGAGACACCAATTGTAAATATTTTAGAAGTGTGTTGTAAATGTAGTAGATATAAATGTATGAAGCTGATTATTTCAAGAGTTTTTCTCTAGGGTGGGCAAATTGTCACGAAGTGAGATTAATTTGTTCAAGAGAAATAACTCTTGAGTCTATTTACGCATGGGAGCCAAACATAAGATAACTTAAGTGCGCGTTGACAGAAACAAATGGTTGATTTTATTTGGCCAGTGTTTCCATGTAGTATTTTTTATTTAAGTTAGATAGGTTCATGGGAAGAATTGACAAACCCTATTTGATAGCTCGACTCTTGCTTGAGTATGTCCTTTCTTATGAGGTCACCAGGGTCACACAACAAAAGAATTGAGGGTGAGTAGTAATGGTAGTTAGTATAGATCAGTTTGACCTCTGACCCTTGACCGACTTCCGGTGCAGTATAGATCAGGTTGACCCCACTTCCGGTCGCGTGTGAGTAAGTCAGGTGATAGTTATTTTTAGGTTCAGAAAGGTCGGTGGGGTTAGTAGGTCAAAGGTACGTAGTAAACGGTGAGCGGGTAAAAGGTCGACGGAGATGGTGGGCGGAACCGCGACAACGGTCGAGGAGGTGATATTTGCCATGTTGCCCTGAACTAAAAGAAGAAAAGAAATAAGATAAACTTACCTCGAGAGGCGGGAGATCACCCGAGCCGCATTGTCATTCGTTGGCTTGTTTGTTTGAGGCCAAGTACGAGTGGGTGATGGCGTGGCGTCCTTGGCCGAGGAGTGTTGAATACAAAAGGAGTCCAAGGACGCAAATGGATCTCCTTTGTTTCAGAGAGCGTCGGTCGTCAATTCCCACGGGTAAGATGCTAAAATTAGTAAAGTATCTATCTCGCGAACAAAAGAGTTTGACGGTCATCCCAGGAAGGAACGCTTCGAACGCGTGGGTTCACTAAACTTCGTTGCATTGAGTCCTTCATTGCACGGCACGATTGGTTACACCTATATTTATCAGTTCCGCGTGGGTACGCGCTCTTTTGGTGTTTGCATTAAGTCACCGACACCCCTGCGCGATATAAATACCACGCTGGGTGGAACCTGTAGATCATATCCCAACCTACCGCCGTGAGAACCACATTTAGTGAGACTGAAAGTTTACCAAATAGTTGAGCGTCATTGCCAACATGGTCGGACACGCAAAGGCAACTACCAAGACGACCGATATGACTGGTGTGCAGCCGTCAGTATCAGCGGCGTCTCAAGCAAGCGACGACGCTGTGAGCACCGGTGCGTTAACCGCTCAACACCTGAGAGCCGGATGGCGCAAAGTGTACAGCGTCGAGGAGCAGAGGTTTTACTACCGTAACGTCGTAACGGGGCACCGTCAGCTAGAGCTCCCTGTCATCGACCCCCTACCCGCCCCGGAGCAGCTTGAGATCCACGCTCCCTCCGACCTCACCGGTGACGAGCTAGCCGCCACCCTGGATGAAGCTACCCAAGCTACCGCAACAGGGGCTGTTAGCACTACCAAGCCGGGGAATGCTGACTTGTGGACCCCCAATTCCAATGCCGGTGCACCGCAGGCCCATCCCGATCTTGCCGTGAAGAGGAAGGGAGCTGTGAAGAGGTTCTTTCCCCGTGACCCTGATGAAGAGGAGAACGAACGCGACGCAGACAGGTTTCACCTGGAAGGTGAGCGTTACGTCCTTGTTAAAAATTTCCGGGGCAGTACTTACGTAACGTGAGAGAGTACTTCTGGAACACGGACAAATCAAGGCTGATTGCTAAGAAGAAAGGCATAAACTTGACTGCTTCGCAGTGGAACATACTGATGTCACACGCCAAAGCTATTTCCGAAGCTGTACGCAGGAAGAGACTGGTCAAGAGAATCGTAAACAAATTTTAAGAAGTTTTGTGCTTAGTTTAATCGTTGGTTTTATTGTATTGTTTTTTGTATCTAGACGAGGAGGCCGATTGCGAACAGCGAGTTAAAACCCTGTTAGAAAAGATTCTCGTTAAATTNACTGAAGACCACCAAGTCCACTGGCAACAAGCCCATCTCATTGCCAACATAGAGCAATTGCAACCACGCCGTATTCGTAAGGCAGTTGAGATTCACAAGAACAGAACAGTTCCGCAAGACACAGGCTTTACCATCAGTGACATCTGGCGCCCCATCCTCAACACTTCCTAGTCCGCATCATGGGTCATCTATACCCTTGGCACCCTGCCCCAGTTCTTCCCATGTTTACCCATCAACACCCACATCAGTACTGCCACACCTGAGCAAGTTTCCACCACGCATCACCGAGCCAGCCTAATCCCTTCTCCAGACTTCCTGCCTTCACGCATCATCGGACTAAACCCTGTCTCCAGAATCCTCCACCAGACTACTTAAGCCCCACTCCCAGTCAGTATCCGGCATTCTTTTATTGACGAGCAGAGCATACTGCTCGAAACGTCGAGTACCACTGGTTCTTTTCAGAACACAAATGCTCACAAAAGAAATACGTCCATGGTGCTACCGCAAACCTACTTTCTATTATGTGGGACTGTAATTTTCTTTTCCTGGTATAATTAGTACACTGCATTGGAAAAACTTGAACACTATATGTGACACAAGGTTCTGAAATAGAGTCATTTTATTCATGTATTAATTAATGAACAATTCATGCATATATCCCTAATGTACTATGAAGTTTTGATCAATAGGCT